GCGCGGGCCGGGGCGCAGGCGAGCCCACCTTGCGCTCCATGCGCTCGTTCTGCAGTTTCTTCTCCTCCGCGCGCTTCTTGCAGTCGGTTATGTGGCGCTCCCGCTTCTTGCGCTCCCGGATCACGTTCTCCTCCAGGAGCTGTAGCTGGTGCTGCGGGTCGGACAGGGGCAAGCAGGCCGTGGCTGGAAGCAGAGCCGCGAGGCCTGGCCTCAAGGGAGTGGGGAGAGGGGAGAGGGGAGAGGGGACGGGGTGGGGAGCGACCCCAAGCTGCCGGGGCGAACACCCCCCCCCCAGGCAGGTGGGCACCTTGGCGATGTCGCGTGCGTTGAGGGCCTCCTGGTTCACCACGTGCAACTCCTCCACCTCGTGTTTGGTTTTGACCACTTCCGCCTCCATGAAGTCCAGCCGGTTCTCCGAGTTGAGGCTCTCCTCCTGGGGGGCGGGGGGGCGGAGTGGTGATCGGGGGTCCCTGGCCCGGGTCTGGCTTTTCCCTCCCTCCTGGGCCTACCTGGAGATAGGCCTTGAGCTGCAGGTACACCGTGGTGATGTGCTGGGCCTCTTCTGCCTTCATCCGAGCCTTCTCCAGACGATTCTCCAGGTTCCGCATCGTCTAACGGGGAGGCAGAGCTGGTCTGGGTCCCCTTCCCGCTCGGCCCCTCCAGCCAAGCCCCTGTCCCCCCCCACACACCCCCTCCCCAGGCCTCATCCGCCCAACCTTGGCCACCTCGGTGTTGCTGTCCTGAGCGTAGGCCATCTCCAGCTGGCGCAGGCTGTGGCGCAGCTGGAGCTCCTCCAGCCGCCTCTGCCGCAGCAGCAGCTGGTGCCGGGCCTCGTTCAGCTGATTCACCTTCTCGTTCAGCTGGTGGTCTAGGTGCTCCAGGGCTTGCTGCGGGGAGGGGTGCGAGAGCACGTTCCCAAGCCCCGCCCGCAGGCCCCCAGTCCTTTGGTCTCTTTTCGTCTCTTAGCATCTAACCTGGCTGTCTTATCCCCTGTGCACTTCTTTTTGGTGCCGGTCCCGGGGCTTGATCTCAGGGCCTGAACACTGTCCCTGAGCTTCTTTATGTTTGCTGGGTACTTGGACTTATCACCAGGTCTCATGGATTTTCCTGTCCGTGCTAGCTCCCAACCACTATCTTTGGATCTCAGCCTCCTGAGTAGTTGGGATTAGGAGCATGAGCCACCAGCACCTGACTAGTGGACAAGGTCTTAAGAGTCCATCCACACACTGAAAACACCAGAATCTAGCCTTCTTCTTGGAGCTAAGGGTTTATATATGTACATGCTGCCTTCCAGGCACCTCCACAGATATACAAAACCGTCTCATCCCTGCTGGGAACGGCGTAAGGAAGGAGCACTGGCCCAGCCAGCACGAGGGCCTGGATTCAGTGTCCGGTATCTCACAAAAGCAGGTGGTGAAGGTGGGGTGTAGCTCAAGAGACAGAGCTGTTGACTAGGACAGGGACTCCCCAGGTTTGACCACCAGCACTAAAAAGAAAAAAAAAAGTCACATGTTCCATGGAGGTATGGCTGGAAGGGTAGAGTGTCCATGGTGCTGGCGGCTCACATCTGTTATGCCAGCTACTCAGGAGGCTGAGATGTGAAGATTTTGGTTCAAAGCCAGCCAGGGTAAGAAAAATTTTTGTTGATGCTGTGTTGGTGGTCATGGGGCTTGAATTCAGGACCTGGGTGATGTCCCCAAGTTTTTTTCACTCAAGGCTACCACTCTACCATTGAGCCACACTTCCAGTTTCCTAGTGGTTCATTGGAGATAAGAGCCACATAGAGGAAGTGGTGCTGTAGCTCAAGTGGTAGAGTGCTCGCCTTGAACTGAAGAGCTGAGGGACAGCGCCCAGGCCCAGAGTTCAAGCCCCACGACCGACCAAAAAAAAAAAAAGAGCCACATAGACTGGGCTGGGAATGTGGCTCAGTGGTAGAGTGCTTGCCTAGCATGCATGAAGCCCTGGGTTTGATTCCTCAGTACCACATAACAGAAAAAGCCAGAAGTGGTGCTATGGCTCAAGTAGTAGAGTGCTAGCCTTGAGCAAAAGAAGCTCAGGGACAATGCCCAGGCCTGAGTTCAAGTCCCAGTACTGGCCAAAAAAAAAGAAAGACAGAAAGATTTGCATAGACTTTCATGCCCAGGCTGACTCTGAACTATGATCCTCAGATCTCAGCCTCCTGAACAGCTAGGAACACAGGTGTGAGCCACCAGCACAGGGCAAAAAAGTTCATGAGATTCTTTTTTTTTTTGGGTCCGGTTGTGGGGGCCTGAACTCTGGGCCTGGGCGCTGTCCCTCAGCTCTTCAGCTCAAGGTTAGCGCTCTACCACTTGAGCCACAGTGCCACTTCAGCTTTTTTTTCTTTTTGCTTACGTGATACTGAGGAATTGAACCCGGGGCCTCATGCATGCAAGGCAAGCGCTCTACCACTGAGCCACCTTCCCAGCCCCTTCATGAGATTCTTATCTCCATTTAAGCAGCACTGGGGAAATAAAAGCCAAAAGTGGGGTTGTGGCTCAAGGGGTAGAGCATCAGTCTTGGGCGAAAAAGCTCAGGGACAGTGCTCAGACTAACCAAAAAACAGTATTGGGGCTGGATGCTGGCAGCTCGCATCTGTAATCCTAGTGACTCAGGAGGATGAGATGTGAGGACTCTGTTCAAAACCAGCCCAGGCAGGAAGTCCGTGAGACTCCAATTAACCTCCAGAAAACCAGAAATGGCGCTGTGGCTCAAAGTGGTAGAGCACTAGCCTTGAGCAAAAGAGTTCAGGGACAGCGCCCAGGCCCTGAGTTCAAGCCCCACACTGACAGAAATAAATAAATAAATATGTGTTCCACTATCTCCTAAATCTGCTCATTTCAGCTCATAGCAACCTCATTCTTCCAGGTGCTTCAACTGAAAGGCTAACAGGACGGCCTTACAGGGTGTGTTCCCAAAATGTGCAGCTGTGGGTTCAACACCCACCACCCAAAAGGAACAAAAGACCTCCAAACCTTAACATCACATTGTCAATTTTTCATCACCTTTCCCACCTATGTCAAGTGTGTTAGCACATTTTCTCCTTCTAATTTATGTTACCACTTTCCCTGGAGATCATGTTCCTTCAACCTCTACTACTTTTCTTTTTCTTTTTTTTTTTGTCGGTCGTGGGTCTTGAACTCTGGGCCTGGGCGCTGTCCCCCAGCTCTTCAGCTCAAGGCGAGCGCTCTACCACTTGAGCTACAGCACCACTTCCGGTTTTCTGGTGGTTTATTGGAGATAGGAGTCTCTCACGGTCTTTCCTGCCCGGGCTGGCTTTGAACCACGATCTTCAGATCTCAGCCTCCTGAGTAGCTAGGATTACAGGCGTGAGCCACCAGCGCCCGGCCCTCTACTACTTTTCTTAGTAGCAACATACCAGCCATCTTTCACCGTATGACCCCACCTCCTGGCCTGCCACCAGCCCATCCCATTTTCTTTATTCCCTCCCTCCCTCCTTTATTTTGTGCCAGTCTTAAGGCTGGAACTCTGGACCTGGGTGCTCTTCCTTAGCTTTTTTTTTTTTTTTTCAGTCGTGGGGCTTAAACTCTGGGCCTGGGCGTTGTTCTGAGCTCTTCAGCTCAAGGCAAGCGCTCTACCACTTGAGCCACAGCCCCACTTCCGGTTTTCTGGTGGTTTATTAGAGATAAGAGTTTAATGGACTTTCCTGCCCAGACTGGCTTTGAACCATGATCCTCAGATCTCAGTCTTCTGAATAGCTAGGATTACAGGTGTGAGCCACCAGCCCCTCGCTCTGAGTTTTTCTTTTTAACAGACAAGGGCTTTCTTATGTTTTCCATTCTGATCTCAAATCTTGAGCTCTTGGGTACAAGAGGAATCCTGCCTCAGTCTCCTGTGCAGCTGTGTCTACAAATGTGTACCACCATGTCCCATTTGTGGGGCTTGAATTTGGAGCCTGGGCGATGTCCCTGAGCTCTTTTGCTCAAGACTAGTGCTCTACCACTTGGAACCACAACTCCACTTCTGGCTTTCTGCTGATTCATTGGAAATAAGAGTCTCAGGGATTTTCCTACCTGGGCTGGCTTTGACTGCAATTCTCAGAACTCAGCCTCCTGAGTAGCTAGGATTATAGGCCTGAGCCATGGGTGCCCAACTTCCCTGAGCTTTTTGTTGTTGTTGTTCAAGGCTAACACTCTACCACTTGAACCACAGCTCCACTTGTGGCTTTTTGCTGGTTTATTAGAGCTAAAAGTCTCAAGGACTTTTGTGCCCTGCTGGCTTCAAACTTGTGATCTTCAAATCTCAGCCTCCTGAGTAGCTGGGATGACAGGGATGAACCACTGGTGCCCAGCTGGACATAAAACTTCATGGGAGAAAGGACTTGCTTGTTTTTCTGCTCTTCTGTTTTCGGTCACCAACCCCAAACACTGTGTCAATCACAAGATGAATGCGTCATAAAGATCTGATTGGGGAAGTCAATGATTAGCAGCCCTTGTGCCGACAGCCGGCAGCCGGAAGTCCAGCGAGGAGGGGCAGTGAGGGGCAGTGGCTGGAGCTGAGGGGGATGGTCAAGTGCAAACCTGGCCAGTCCTGTTCTTCAAGTATGGCTTCTCTGACTTCCACTCCTGAATGATCGCCTGGACCATTTTCTCATCTCCCTGCAAGGACAGGAGCCAGTCAACCCTTTCCTCCGGTCAGCTGCGTCCGGTGCCCCGCCCTCCCCTGCTCAGAGCCCTGCCTACCAGGTGCATTTGCTCACCTTGAGCAGGTCTGTGAGCTTGATCTGGAGAACCTTGATCTCCTCTCGAAGCTGGTTGATGGTGTCTTGGTTTTTCTTGATATTCCATTGGGAACTTTCATAAAAGGCCTTCCGATCACCCTCTGGGAAGCAGGGGAGGTGGACAGACAGGCCCACTGTTGTTGGGCACCTGCGTAGGACCTCTCAGAGACAAGACCCTTTCAACCAACGACTCAATGTTCTTATTTTTTTCCTTTTCCTTTTCGTTTTCCTTTTCCTTTTTTTTTTCTGGCTGTGGGGCTTAAACTCAGAGTCTTAGTACTGTCCCTGAGCTCTTTTGCTCAAGGATAGAGCTCTACTACTTTGAGCCACAGCACCATGCACCAGTTCTGGTTTTCTGGTGGTCCATTGTAAGTAACGAGTCTCATGGACTTTCCTGCCTTGGCCAGGTTGGGCCTAAATTTTCAGATCTCTGCCTCCTGAGTAGCTAGGATTATAGGCATGAGCCACCAGCACCTGGCTTGCTCTACCACTTGACCCAAGATTACAGATGTCATTTGGCTCTTTTTACCCAGACTTGGCTCTGTACCACTCGAGCTACTGCTTCACTTCTGGCTCTGTGTGTGTGTGTGTGTGTGTGTGTGTGTGTGTGTATGTGTGTGCGCGCATGTATGTGCTATTTCTGGGGCTTGAACTCAGGCTGAATCACTGTCCCTGTTCAAAGCTAGCTCAAGGCTAATGTTCTATCCTTTAAGCCACAGCTCCATTTCTGACTTTGTTGTTGTTGTTTGGACAGTCCTGGGGCACGAACTCTGGACCTGGGCACCATCCCTGAGCTTCTTTTTTGGTTCAAGGCTACCATTTTACCACTTGTTTTTTGTTGTTGTTTGTTTGTTGGTTTGTTTTGGGGTCCGGTCGTGGGGCCTGAACTCTGGGCCTGGGCATTGTCCCTCAGCTCTTCAGCTCAAGGCTAGTGCTCTACCACTTGAGCCACAGCGCCACTTCCAGCTTTTTTTTCTTTCTTTTTCTTTTTTTTTTGTCGGTCGTGGGGCTTGAACTCTGGGCCTGGGTGCTGTCCCTCAGCTCTTCAGCTCAAGGCGAGCGCTCTACCACTTGAGCTACAGCGCCACTTCCGGTTTTCTGGTGGTTTATTGGAGATAGGAGTCTCACAGTCTCTCCTGCCCGGGCTGGCTTTGAACCGCGATCCTCAGATCTCAGCCTCCTGAGTAGCTAGGATTACAGGTGTGAGCCACCAGCGCCCGGCTACTTCCAGCTTTTTTCTTATGTGGTGCTGAGGAATCGAACCCAGGGCCTCATGCATGCAAGGCAAGCGCTCTACCACTGAGCCACATTCCCAGCCCCACTCTACCACTTGAGCCACAGTTCCACTTCTGGTTTTTTTTAGTAGTTTTTTTGGAGATAAGAATCTCAAAGCCAGACTTTCCTGCCCTGTTGGCTTCAAACCATGTTCCTCAGATCTCAGCCTCCTGAGTAGCTAGGGTTACAGGCATGAGCCACCAGCACCCAGCAACAACTCAATATTCTAATAACGCTTGATGATAAAGAAAGGAAGGTTAATGGGTTCAGGGGATGAACTTCATTTTTGTGGTTCTGGGGTTTGAATTCAGCATCTCTTTGCTGACTATGCAGATACTCTACCACTTGATCCATGCCCTCAGCTTATGTGTGTGTGTGTGTGTGTGTGTATACCATTTCTGGAGCTGGAACTCAGGGCCTGGGGGCTGTACCTTATTTCTTTCATTCAAGGCTGGTGCTTCACCACTTGCGGAGCAGCTCTATGGGTTTTTTGCTGGTTAATTGGAAATAACAGGTTCACAGACTGGGTTGGTTTGGAACCGTGATCCTCAGATCTTAATCTCCTAAGTGGCTAGGATTACAGGCATGAGCCATTGGCACCCCGCATTTATTTTATTTTTATTTTTGTCAGTCATGGGGCTTGAACTCTGGGCCTGGGCACTGTCCCTCAGCTCTTCGGCTTAAGGTGAGCACTCTACCACTTGAGCCTTGCTGGTGGTTCATTGGATATAAGAGTCTCAGGGGGCTAGGAATGTAGCTTAGTGGTAGAGTGCTTGCCTAGAATGCATGAAGCCCTGGGTTCGATACCTCAGTAAACAGAAAAAGTCAGAAATGGCCCTGCGGCTCAAATGGTAGAGTGCTAGCCTTGAGCAAAAGAAGCTCAGGGATAGTGCCCAGGCCCTGAGTTCAAGCCCCAAGACTGGCCAAAAAAAAAAAAAAAAGAGGCTCACAGACTTTCCTGCCCAGGCTGGCTTTCAACCATGATCCTCTGATCTCAGCCTCCTGAGTAGTAGCTAAGATGACAGGTGTGAGCCACCAGCACCCAGCCCAGTTTTTCTTTTTTTTTAATTTTTTTTTTCAGTTTTTCTTTTTTAAAGATATTTTCCAGGTAGAGTCCTTGGCTTTGCTTGAGACTGGCCTTGGATGATGCTCCTCCTTCCTATGTATCCTTTATAGCCAGGATGATAGGTATGTACCACCACACCCAATAACTTTTGTCTAGTTTGACCTGGAGGTGCAATTGCTTAGATATCCACCTCCTGTGTAGCTGAGATTACAGACATGAACCACTATCCTGACCCACAGAGGAATAACTTTGGATGTCCTTCAGCACAGTTAGGCAACAATTAATTATATATTTAGGAATATCTAGCAGAGAGTACAAAGACCAGATGAGATAAATCATCATCTAGGTGGCAGCAGCCGTAATCCAAACTACTTGGGAGGATGAAATAGGGAGGACCTTGATTCAAAGCTAGATCCCTGGGGTGGGATGGGGGGGGGAAGGGGAGGGGGGGGGGGAAGGGAGGAAGGAAGGGGGAATGTTTAGGAGACACTTTTTTTTTTTTTTTTTTTGGCCAGTCCTCAGGCTTGAAATCAGGGTCTGGGCACTGTTTCTGAGCTTCTTTTGCTCAAGGCTAACATTCTATACTTGAGCCACAGCTCAAGTGTATGTGGTACTGAGGAATCAAACCCAGGACTTCATGCATGCTAGGCAAACATACTACCACTCAGCCACATTCCCAGCCCACTTCACACATTTCTAAACTGCACATTACCCACACTGTACTGCTACTCTCTTACCTTGCCCTTTTGTTTTGGTTGTGCTGGGGTTTGAACTCAGGGCCTTGTGCTCAGTATGCAGGTATTCTACCCTTTGAGTTATGCCCCAGCCATATTATATCCATTTTACAGATGGAAAAAGCAATCTGATTACTCTTGGTTCTTTTTTTCTTTGGGGGGGGGGATCCAGTCGTGGGGCCTGAACTCTGGGCCTGAGCGCTGTCCCTCAGCTCGTCAGCTGTAGACCAGCGCTCTACCACCTGAGCCCCAGCCCTACTTCCGGCTTTTTCTGCTTATGGGGTGCTGAGGAATCAAACCGAGGGCCTCTACCACTGAGCCACCTTCCCAGCCCCCCACTCTTGGTTCTTTAAGATAAAAAACTATTCAGCTTGGGCTGGGAAGGTGGCTCAGTGGTAGAGTGCTTGCTTCACATGCATGAGGCCTTGGGTTTGATTCCTCAGCACCACATAAACAGAAAAAGCTGGAAGTGGCACTGAGGCTCAAGTGGTAGAGTGCCAGCCTTGAGCCAAAGAGCTCAGGGACAACACCCAGGCCTTGAGTTCAAGTCCCACGAATTACAAAAAAAAAAAAAAAAAGACACGTGAGAGCGCAGGGCCCTGAGTTCAAGCACCAGTACCAGCACACACACACACACAAATAGAAAAGAAAGTGAAAGCTGGGTGCCGGTAGCTCATGGTTCAAAGCCTGCCTGGGCAAGTAAAGTCCGTGAGACTCTTATCTCCAATCAACCACCAGAAATTGGAAGTGACTTTGTGGCTCAAGTGGTAGACCACTCTCTTTGAGCTGAAGAGCTCAGGGACAGCTCCCAGTCCCAGAGTTCAAGCCCCACGACTGACAAAAAAAAAAAAAAAGTGAAATCGATGCATTACACTACCACATTCATGATAGAAAAGCTATAATTATAGCAAAGTATGAAATACAGTGTTGGGAATGTGGCTTAGTGGCACAGTGCTTGCGTTTGCCTGGGTTCGATTCCTCAGTACCATATACACAGAAAAAGCTGGAAATGGCGCAGTGGCCTGGAGCAAAAGAAGCTCAGAGAGAATGTCTAGGCCCTGACTTCAAACCCCAGGACTGGCAAAAAAAAAATATGAAATACACTCCTTTTCCCTCAGTGCTGAGGATGGAACCCAGAATCCCATGAATGCTAAACAAGTAGTGCTCTATTATTTGACCGACAGTAACAGCCCCCCGTCCTGTCTGTCCCAAACCCCGAATTTTGAAAAGAGGATGAACAAGTAGGAGTAATGGTATCCACAGAATGGCCACATAGACTCAGGCTGACAGTAAACCTTTTGTGTCACCTTGCATGATCAGGTAACTCTCTGGATATTGCTGATCCCTGACCCTCATCGCCTTCTGCAAACATCTTACCTAGTAGTTGGATCTTCCTTTGTAACTCAACCACCTGTGCTTGCATGGACGCCTTCGTCGCCCGGGATATGGCCCCCTTGGAATGGAGTGGGAGCCAGGCCTGTGCCCGCATTGCATCCTTGCCACGAGGGTAACCCTGCTTGACCTGAGACTTACTGCCTTTGGCTTTGGAAGAGGACGTTGTTATTTGGTCCTGAGTAAGCAGGGCATTGGCAGAGGCCGACCTGCACAGGGGATTCGACATGATTGGGTTGGAGCGAAGAGCCACTTAGGGGGTTAGGGAAGCAACTAGAAGTTGGCTGCCCCAGTACGGGACGGTCAGCTTGGGCTCCTGAGGCTCAGGAATGTACTGTCCGTCCGCTTGGCAGAGCCTCTTTAGCATCTCCCGGTTGCTAGGTAACCTCGCCCCCTCCGCCTTCCCCGTTCCCATGGAGACCAGCCGCACTCCTTGGCACTGCTCTCATTGGCTGCGGCTGCACGGATAGGCGGGACTAGAGGAGGCGGGGCGAGGGGCTGGCGCGGAGCTGGGGAGGGAGGGCGCTGCGGCGGTCACGTGCTTCTCTCTTTTCTTCTTCCTTTTCCTCTTCTGGCTGAGGTTCGTAGCTAGGTTTCAGGAACTTTCTTTCCCGCTTTCGGAAGCTGCCACTCCCAAGATGGAGACAGGTTGCGCCGCCATTAAACGCCGGCCTTCAGACCCATTCTACTGAAAGAGTCGCCGGCCCTACCCAAGATGGCCGCCCCAGTTCCGGCCGCCGCGGCGCGGCCGCACTCAGCATGGCGTCCCGGAGCGGCCGCTTCCGGCGCGCGGCGGAAGTGACGCACACGAGCGCTTCCGCTCTCTTTCGGCGGCAGGAACCGTGGCTCCGGGGGTGGGTGCCGTGGAAATTGAGCTTTGCCCCGGCCTCGTGGAGGTGATGAAGTAGTGCATGGGAAGGCACCCTAACTTTTTTCTGGGGTGCCGGGGGGGTCAGGTCGCGGGTGGGGCCCCTTGGCCGTATCTTTGGCGGGAATGGAATCGCCTACCCCGCCGAGACCCACGGTCTGGGGGGTTTCCCTCACCATTGATCTGAACAAAGTGAGACTTTTCCGCCGGCCCGGATTGGGAGGGGGGGGAATCCCTGGCTCCTGCACCCCCAAATCGGAAGCCAAGTGAGTTCTCATTGGCCAGAAGCGGTGCAGCAATCCAATTGGCTGAAAGTAGTCCCTGTTTCTCCGATCTGTGTGTGGGGGGGCTGGCCTGTTGGAGACACCCTCCCCCGTCCCCCCCCACCCCGCTCTTATGCTGCTCCGTGTGGGGGACCCCCGTGCATCTTCCTCTTTCCTCTCACAGAACCTGCTTCCCGCCTCCGCATCCCCCACCCCCTTATCTCGGGATGTTGCTGCTGGTGCTTCTGCTGCCCCTCTGCTGGGCCGTGGAAGTCAAGAGGCCCCGGGGCGTCTCTCTGACCAGTGAGTGCTGAGGCTGGGGTGGGGGGCTGCTAGTGACATTTTACACAAGCCTTTGGACTCAGTTTCCCGGTGGGATTCAATGGGTGGATCTCAGGTCTGAGATCTTTTTTGTTGTTCTGGATTGCATCTCTTGCTCTCCTTGTCAGACCATCCTTTCTATGATGAGTCCAAGCCTTTCACTTGTCTGGACGGCTCAGCCACCATCCCTTTCGATCAGGTCAACGACGACTACTGTGACTGCAAGGATGGCTCGGATGAGCCAGGTGAGTCTTGTGCCCTTGTGACCTTTGGTGCATTTAGTGAGCACCTGCTGAGTGCCAAGGCCTCAGTGCCCTGATCAGCAGAGATGGTGTAAGTCCTGTTTTTCCGTGGTCTTTCTCAATGAAGGATAGAATCAGGGCAGAAATCTGGTCTGAGCCCTTACTCAGAGAACGGGAGGCCTGAAGTTCAGCCCTTAGCATCTCTCATTCTCCACCCTGTTAGGACAGTGCAGAATGCCCTCCCCTTTTCTCCTCCCCTTTGGGGGGGCGGGGGAGGGGTGCGATTGCAGGTTGAATGGGACAGGTCTGTCCCTGAGTGAATTCTTTTTTCTTTTTGCTGCAGGTACAGCTGCCTGTCCTAATGGCAGTTTCCACTGTACCAACACCGGCTACAAGCCCCTGTATATCCCTTCCAGCCGCGTCAACGACGGGATTTGTGGTGAGGAGCCTCCCCCACGAGCCCCACGCCCTCCCCAGGCTTGGGAAAAGGGAGTGATGGCTGTGGGGAGGAGGCACTGGCAATTCTGACCTGGGCCTCCCCTCTGCCGTAGACTGCTGCGACGGCACAGACGAGTACAACAGTGGCGTTGTCTGTGAAAACACCTGCAAGTAAGTGGGTGACAGGACCCTCTCACCCCCCACCCCCTGCCTGTACCCACCCCCAGACAGCCTCCTTTTTCTGTCTTCCAGCCCCCAAGTTTGTTGAGACAGTGTTGTGCTTTGAAACCCAGAGTAACCTTGAACTCAGCCATTTTTGCACCTCAGGCTGGTATATGTTGGGATTACAGGCATGCACAGTCAGGCATGGCCCTTTTTTCTGTCTTTGTATTTTGAGTGCTTACTCTGTGCCACTCAACCCCACATTACTGGCTTTCTGTCTAGCTCAAAAGCAGATCCAGTGGTTTCCCTCCTTAGCAGAAGGGGAACTTCAAGTCTAGGAAGGGGAATGAGTTGCCCAGGGTCAAAGCTAGTGCTTGAACCCTGGCCACCTGTATACTGACTCAGTATACCTCACGGAAACCTGAAGTTTTAAATGTCCACTGGCAGGTAATGTAAGCAACAGAAGTGGGCCGAGTATGAGACGGAAGGAACTGGTTGGATTGTGGTATCAAAAGGAGCTGCTAAGGCGCTGGTGACTCAAGCCTGTCATCCTAGCTACTCAGGAGACTGAGGTGTGAGGATCTGAGGAATGCAGTTTAGAGCCAGCCCGAGCAGGAAAGTGTGTGAGACTCTTAGCTCCAATATCTCCAATGAATCACTCAATCACCAGAAGTGGCACTGTGGCTTAAAGTGGTAGACTGCTAGTCTTGAGCAAAAGAGCTCAGGGACAGGGTCCAGGTCCTGAGTTCAAGCCCCATGACTGACACACACACACACACAGAAAGAAAGGAACAGTTTACAGTTACTTGCAATTCTTGTTGCTTTTTGGCAGGTGACAGGGTTGGATCAGTTTTGGAAAGGAACTGAAAGACCTCATCTAAATTCTCCCAATCTGAAAGCAAGCTAGCTTCCTTCCTTCCTTCCTCCCACCCACCCTCCCTCTCTCCCTCTCTCCCTCCCTCTTGTTTTGGGTAGATAAAATACCTTGGTGGGTGAGGGGGTTCGCCGTCTTTCCCAGGCTGCTGGGGTGAGCCCTTTTGGTAAGCTCAAAATGTCCCCTGGGGGTGCCCGCATGTCTCCCCCTTAGAGAGAAGGGTCGTAAGGAGAGGGAGTCCCTGCAGCAGATGGCGGAGGTCACCCGGGAAGGATTCCGCCTGAAGAAAATCCTCATCGAGGACTGGAAGAAAGCCCGGGAGGAGAAGCAGGTGAGGAGCCCTAGAAGATCCTGGATAGGGATGTCCAACGCAAGTCAGCACCTTCTTGGCCCTTGCTTTGCCCAGTGCATGCTGGGTGGCTAGGCATTGGCTGAGAGTTCTGGGTCCTGGGCTTTAGGTGAGTTTTAGAAGCTAGAAATCCTGATGTGAGTTTTCTTCATTTTCAAGCTTGCTTTTTTTTTTGTATCAGTGGCAGGCCTTGAACTCAAGGCCGGGGGTGCTGTTCCTTATCTTTTCCTGCTTAAGGCTGGTGCTCTACCACTTGAGCCACAGCTGCAGTTCTCTCTTTTTGGGGTTAATTGGAGAGGTAAGAGACCCTTGAACTTTTCCTGCCAGGGTTGGCTTTGAACTGTGATCCTCAGATCTCAGGCTCCATAGTAGCTAGGAATATAGGCGAGAGCCAACAGTGTAGCTCTTGTCTCTTCTGAAAACATAACACAGGTGTGCTGTGCACTGGGCTGGGCGCTAGGGCCAGACCTGGGCCTGCCTCAGAGGAAGAAGGGACAGACAGAAAGAGAGACCCAGGACTACTGGCAAAGAGGAAGTTTGGGGCCTTAAGGGCATTTTGGTAGCCCTTGCCTGCTTTTTTTTTTTTACCTGTTTTGAGGGGCAGGAATTAAGATTTCCTAGAAGGTGGTGGGTCCTCTATCTAAACTGAAATCAGCAGAATAATTGGGAGTTAGTCATAGAGAATGTTCTAGATTGAAGGAGCAGCATGTGGGAAAAAGTGGAGGCTGTTAGAGCCTTGTGTTTACGGAGGGATGGGCGCTGATAGCTAATGGCTGTAATCCCAGCCCCTCAGGAGGCTGAGATCCGAGGATCAAGGTTTGAAGCCAGCCCCAAGTAGGAAGGCCCATGAGACTCTCATCTCCAATTAACCACAAAAAGCCAGAGGTGGAGCTGTAGATTAACTGACAGAGCACAAGCCTTGAGCAAAAAAGCTTAGGGACAGTGTCCAGGCCCCGAGTTCAAGCCTGGCACTAGAAGATGCAGGTGGGCTGTGTTGCACAGGACCTTGTGGGCCGTGCTGGGGAGGTGTTTGGGCTTCTTCCCTGGTATAGGAAGGGGAGACCAGGAGGGTTTGTGGTTTGGCATAGCCCGGCTGCTGTGTGGAGTAGAGGTAGGGAGGTGACGGAGGCAGGGAGAGCTGAAGGAGAGCTGCCCTCTTCCATTCGCCACAGAACAAGCTCTTGGAGCTACAGGCCGGAAAGAAGTCTCTAGAAGACCAAGTGGACATGCTGAGGACAGTGAAGGAGGAGGCCGAGAAGCCTGAGAAGGAGGCCAAAGAGCGGCACCAAAAGCTGTGGGAGGGTATGGTGTCTGTGTGTGTGTGTGTGTGTGTGTGTGTGTGTGTGTGCACGCGCGCGCATGTGCACCTATGCACGCACCTACACACACATGGTCACAGGATTCCTGTGTGCCTGGCAAGTGTTCTTCCATTGAGGTAGACCCCTGACCTAGTTTCAGCTAGTTCTCTGTGTGTAGGGGTGTGTGTGTGTGTGTGTGTGTGTGTGTGTGTTGGTCTTGGGACTTGAACTCACTGCCTGGGTTCTGTTCCTGAGTTGTTGGTTTGTTTATTTTTTTTTTGCCATTCCTGGAGCTTGAACTCTGGGCCTAGGCGTTGTCCCTGAGCCTCTTTTTGCCCAAGGCTAGTGCTTTATCACTTGAGCCATAGCGCCACTTCTGATTTTTTTCCCAGTAGTATATTGGAGATCAGAGTCTCACGGATTTTCCTGCCCAGGCTGGCTTCAAACTGTGATCCTCACATCTCAGCCTCCTGAGTAGCTAGGCTTACAGGCATGAGCCACCAACCAGCACCCAGCTCTCCCTTTCAGGACCTCATACTTGGCAGCCACTCTACCACTTGAGCTACAGTGAAAACCCATTTTGCATCAGTTTTTTTTTTTTTTTT